TACTTTCAAAAACCTAATTTAAAAAGGGCCTTTGTCAGCGAAGCATCTGACAGAAATAATCTCCAATTAATCTGTAACTGAATTGGGGATTTTTTTACCTTTATATTTTTAAATGCAAATTAATAAGTAAACACATCCTTCATGTAAACATTTGAAACACTACATATATAGTGCAACTCCTCGTTGCCCATCCCTCTTGAATGTACCCTTCCAGACCTTTATGTCAGTGTACATTTTTTGTGATTTTTTTTTTTGGGGGGTGTGTGTAGCACAGTGATTACGAATTGGGCTGCTAACCTCAAAGTCGGCAGTTTGAAACTACCAGCCATTCCATGGGAGAAAGATGAGACTTTCTGCTCCCGTAAAGATTTACAACCTCCAAAACCCTGTGCAGGGTCACTATGAGTAGGAACCAACTTCATGGTACTTAATAACAACAACAACATATGCATAGTATCATACTATACTCACTATTCTGCAACTTGCTGTGTTGAGTTAAAAGTACGTTTTTAAAGATCTTGCCATGACAGTAAATATGGCTGTTCCTCATTCTTTTTAATATTTTCATTCTATGGCTAGATAGTTTAACTCTTTTTATTGATGAATGTTCAGAACATTAAGGTACTGCAACTAGGCTTCCAGTTCAAATACACAACAAAACATGTTTCCTATTATTTATCTTTACCAAAGAGGCTACAATGACCATCCTTGCACCTGGTATATGTGTGCAGATGTTCCCTAAAATACCTTTTTTTCACTCTCAATAGTGTGTTGTGCAATCAACTGTGTCTTCCTCCCATGGCCATGGAGTTGACTTCAACTCATAGTGACCAGATTTTTTTTTTTAAGGAATAAAAACTTTTTGTTGACTCCTTTTAAGTGGAACAAACTAAATGTCTATTTAACAGCTTGGGTTCACTTGTACAGTTCATTGCATAAGTATGTACAGAAGTAACAAAAGTTCTTATTAGAGTCAAATGACACAAGTCCAAAACCCAGACTCTAACGTGCATCCTGTGTCCTGTGTGTGGTTTCACACCCATCACCCCCTTTTACAAACCATGCTTGGAGGTTTAGGTTTCTGTTTATTAACACTCTTGACTGTTTTTTACAGAGGGAGCCTTTGTAACCTCATCAAAAAAACTTGGAGAACCGCAAAAGTGGACCAAAGACCTCTTAGGCCAAACAGCCCTTTCAACCATTCACCAAATGCTGCTTCTTTCTGCTGATTGCAAACAGAGACGGGACTGTCCCTGACAGATACCAGCAGGCACTAAGTGCACAATGAGGTCAGATAGGCCTGACCAGATGGGGTCTACAGGGGAGTTCTATTTGGGGGCTGTGGAGAGGGAAGGGCATGTATAAGTCCCACTCCTCAGGCCTCCCAATCTTCTCCAGTCTGGTGGTTCTCCAGTACTGTGACCAGAAATTTTACATAATGAAATAAAGCAGAACAGAATAAAATACCTCGAAGAGGTGAAGAAAGGAGATATCAAAAAGACATGGAGATAACTGCATAAAATATCTGTTTCCTACACATGTGCATATATAAGGTTAAGTCAAGAAGTATTGCTACCAGGGTTCCAAGTCATACACACACAGATTTACTCCAAACAAAATATGTTGGAAAATGTCTGTGTTCAGTGAATAGCTGCAGACAGTTTCTCTCAGTAATATAGCTGTCTTAGTCTTGTTAAGGTAGTTTCAAAAAAAAGGTCCAATTAAAACAGTGGTTTCCAAGGGCATCTGCTGGGTCAGTTAAATTCCAGACAGACAGGTCAGCTCAGAAAGTTATGGCAACTATCTGAGGATTCCCAAGGGACTATCTTTATAAATTTTCTCAAAGGACACAGGAGACTATCAAGGTGTACTAGGAAGAAATGTTAAGAAAATGAGAATTACAGCAAGAAAATTTAAAAGGACAAGAATTTCTTCCATCATGACAATGCACCTGCTCATTCTTCGAGGGTAGCAAGAGATGTCCACTGAGAATTTCCCTGGGAAACCTTACACCGTCCGCCCTACAGTCCTCTTCATACCGCTTCATACTTATTCTTATTCCCAAATGCAAAAAACAATGAAAAAGAACACAGTTTGAGTCCTGTGAGGATGTCAAAACGGCATTTTGATGTGGCATACATTAAAGAGCACAGAATTCTTCGGGAAAGGGTTAGAGAAGGAAACACCACCTTCAGAAGCGTATAGACCTAGGTGGAGGCTACGTCGAGAAACAACAACTTCACATTGTGGTATTTTTGTTTAATAAAGTTTCTATGATTTTATAGTAATACTTTTTGATTTATTTTATATTTAACACTGTAATGTAAATGTAAACATTTCTTAATATGGCTTGTAACAAAAACTATGAAAACATATTCTGGAGTGCTGGTGTGGCACCAAAGGACAAGCACTGGACTGCTAACCACAAGGTTGGCAATTCAAACCCACAAGCAGTTCCTCGGCCACCCTATATAGGCCTGCCATAAGTGGGAATCCACTCACTGGAACTTAACAATTAACAATAAGGCATATTCTAAGAGATGGCATGTTTAAGCCCAAGAAAATGTGCATTTTTACTGGTTAGGATTTAAAACACTATTCCTAAACTTGGCATATTTCTGGCTCTCATAAACAAGACACATAAAATGGCTATATTATTAGATAAATCTTATAAATATTTATCTAAGCTTCTTTAGACAGCCAGGTCATTTTGAACCTCAAGTTTGGAGGTTCAAGCTCACCAGGCACTCCTCGGAAACCCTAAATAAGAGTCACTATAAGTTAGAACCCACTTGACAGCACTTAACAACAGCAACTTGTCTTCTAAATATTTTTAGCAATCAGTATCAAGCTTATGTTACCAAAATTTCAATTGATACTGACATTGATATTTCTAAGCATGATATTAAATAACTATAAAAAATTTCTCTAGTTTTCATCTAAAAAGCAGTTCAACTCAACAATTTCATCTATTGTGCTTTTATGTCTGACATATATTTAACACGTCTTTATCTAGTAAATTTAAAAATGATCTTCACTGACTAGAGAATAAACAAAGTATACTGATCTGCTGAATGTAAAGCTAATAATCTTGTCTGTTTAACTTTTTATTGTGAATTAAGATTTACAGACAAGATCATCAGTTTTACATTGAACAAACCATGCACTTTGTTTATTCTCATTGATTACATTCCCCTTCAAGCAGTAAGTTATCCTGCTTCCTCCCTGTGGTTCCTGTTTGCATTCTACCCACCTTCCTATCCCTTCTCAATTTTGTCCTTAGGAAAATGTTATCTTTTTTATTTTGAATAATTGACTGTTCCAATGGTAAATGACTATTACTGGTGCTGTTCTCACCCCCACCCCCCGTAAATCTATCTACTGCACAGGTGAAAATTGGGCCACGAAGATGAGTTCCTTTCCAGATTTGAAGGGTGGTTGTGGGCCATAATCTCAGGCTCCTCCAGTCTCTTTCTGACTAGTAAACCAGGTCTTTTTATTAATATTAAATAATTCTGAATTTTGTTAAGCATTTTCCCCCCACTCTATCCAAGACCCTGTAATGTGATCCCTATTAGGGTAGTTGGTAGTAGCAGCTGAGCACTGTCTAGTTCTTCTGGTCTCAGGGTCGTTGAAGACCGGTGTTCACATGTTCCATTGGTCTACTGGACTAATTGATTTCAAGCTTCTTCAATTCTTAAAATTCTTCTTTCTTCTACAAATGGAGAGACCAAATGCTTCACCTTAGATGGCCGCCCTAAGCTTTCAAGATCCCAGATGATACTCACCCAAGCAGGAAGTGGAACACTGTTTTAACGAACTTTGTTATGCCAGTTGATCACTGTGTCCCGAGACTATGGTCCTGAGCCCCCAGACCCATAAATTCATTGCTTTAGGATGTTTGATAATATCTAAGAAGTTTTCATCATTTTGCCTGCTGTATGCTCTACCACATTCTTCTCTTTCAAAAGCTTATATATTTGAGGGATATATATATACATACACACATACATATATGGTGGTTGTTGTGTGCCACCGAGTCAGTTCCGACACATAGTGACCCTGTATAGAGTTTCCAAGGCTGCAAATCTTTACAGGAACAGAAAGCCTCACCTTTCTCCCATGGAGCAGATGGTAGACTTGAACTGCCGACTTTGTGGTTAACAGCCCAGCTTGTAATCCACTATGCTTCCAGGGCTCCATAGTCCTTCCTTACCCATTCAGCCTATGTCTCAATCCATGTATCTTTGCACAGAATACTGTTGTTCCAAGGTTGTGTATGTATCACTGTTACCTCTATCTCCATTAGCCCCTGCAAACCTCCCTGAGTCTTCACCTATCTTGCTGATTCTTCTGCCACCCTCCTTGTATATTGCCCTTCCCCTTCTAGTATATCTCCTTCCCCATCACCAGAGCTAACATGTGTCTACCCTCTAGCACTAACTCTTTAAAAATCATGCTATCTGAGATAATTATCATCATTTATGGTTCTTAGTGGAAATTTTTAGAAACTACTATGTTTTGAAACATTAAAAATTTCAATTATTCTTAAAAATAAGTGGGCTTGCTTTCATTGCTCTTAAAAAAGACTTTTAAAGATTTGGAATAAAAATGCATCATGCTCACCACCTTGAAGAATGTTTTCCTAAGTAAAAATATAAATATTTATTCACACTACAAACTTCTCTAATGCATCACTTTTCAGGAGTTGCTGCTGTTAGGTGCAGTTGAATCAATTCCAAGAAGAAGCTGGTGAGTTTCAACTTCTGACCCTTGTAGTTAGCAGCAATGCTTACCCTACAGTGCCCACCAGGACTACTTTTGGGAAATAGGTTTCCAACTATTAACTCTTATTTTTCTTTTTCTCTTACCTGAAAAGAAAAATAGTCTCTACACCGGAAAAAGAAAAAAAATCAGTGTACATAAAATCTTAATGTTAATCCCAAAGCAGCTAGCTATTCATGTTTCTTGTAAAAGTAAATAACAAAAAGGTAATATACCTAGCCAGAGGGGAGCGAAATGCTGAAGCTGGTGTGGGAAAATCCATGGTCCTTGTCTCGAGAACTGGTTTTCCTGGAATAAACTTTAAACTGTTGGGATTTGGAGTATCTTGCGTTTGAATAAACATGTTTCTTACTAAAAGAGAAAAGAGATTATTCTTTTAAAAATAATAATTTTCAAAGAAGTGCTCATTTTCAGAGACCCAGAAGAAAAATTATTAGAAAGATATTACTGTAAATGATAATTGTCCAAGTTGACAAAAGACTATAAATATAGAAATACGTCAATATATCTAGATTTAGGAAAAGTGCATCAGCTTTAATAGTAATACTCTAATTATTTAGATAGTTTTGTTAGTCAACAGATTCTAACAATATACTTCCTACACTTAAGTAGAAACGTACATCACAACTCTAGAGTTGTGTATTATGTGTATTCTAACTGGTGGCTGGTGTCAATGACTATCTTAACTATTCATCTTGGCTGCTAACCAATAGGTCGGCAGTTCAAACCTACCAGCTGCTCTGTCGGAGAAAAAGTCCATAAAGATTGAAAGCTTGGAAACCCTATGGGGCAGCTTTGTTCTATCCTACAGGATCATGGTGAGTTGGAATCACCTTAACAGCAGAGAGCTGATGATTTTCTTTGTAATAATAACACAGTAAAAAGTTACATTATCTTCTTTCCAAAGTACCACCACTCTTTTAAAGACAATAAAGACAAAGTGCTGTTATTAAGTGCCTATATGGGGTTTCCAAGGCTTTAAATCTATGTGGGAGCTGAAAGTCTCATCTTTCTCCCACGGAGCGTCTGGTAGGTTCAAATCACTGACTCTGTGGTTCTCACTCCAGTGCTTATCATACAGAGCCACCATACTACCCTAAGTCAAATTAGCAATTTATAATAAAATCAGTATCTATTGCTTTTTAATTATATAACAGATACAGGGTCAAGTGTTTTAGACATATTTATTCTTTTAATGACCATGAAGAAAGTACTATTTTTATCCTAATTTTACAAATGAAGAAACAGGCTTAGAGATGTTAATTAACTTGCCCAAGGTTACAGAACATTTATAACACTATAAAATACGATATACAAAGTGGAATCTAAGTAAATTACTCTGGCATACATAGAAACTATCTTAACGGGTTCTTTTCTTCTAGGGCCATATTAAATTGTGAATAAATTGACTATAACAATAAAGAGGTAACTGGATCTTTAATTCCCTGTCTTAATATTAGGAATAGTACTTTTAACACAAATGCATAGACCTGGGTTTTAATAGTTTTAAAAATCACAAAAAAGACCTTGATTATTTGTTATGAAAATAAACCTTCTAAAAAAATGCATCATCTTATAGGAGTTTGTTTAAATAGGTTGACAACAGTATGTAATAACAACAAAAATTTACTGAGCACTTATCATATGCTAAGTACCTTATACACATTACATGGTGCTAATTACTTGACACATATTACATCATTTAATCCCTACAGCCTCCCAAGTAAGTACCATTTTTATTCCGTTTTATAAGCAAGCAACATAAAGCTCATGATCACTCCGCTAGTTAAGCGATAGTCAGGATTCAAGCCTGCCCAGTTTTCAAGCTCTGACTCTTGGAATCACTGTACACACTGCCTTTCCTCACCTGTTGTTGTTGTTAAGTGCCATCGAGTCGGGTCCGACCCATAGCGACCCTGTACAGGGTTTCCGAGGGTGTAAATCTTTACGGGAGTAGAAAGCCTCATCGGTCTCCCGCGGAGCGACTGGTAGTTTCGAACCGCTGACCTTAAGGTTTGCAGCCCGATTCGTAACCACTACGCTACCAGAGCTCCTTCTTTCCTCACCTACTAGTGCCAAGCAAATGTACTGCTGTTGTTGTTAAGCGCTGTCAAGTCAGTTCCGACTCAGAGACCCTGAATAGGGTTTCTCAGTAGCAGCTGGTAGGTTCTGCTGACCTTGCAGTTCAAACCTTATCCTTCAGAGCCACACCAGGACTCCAAGCAGAACAGGAAAATATATTTAGGACCAGGCTTCTTATCCTGTCTTGTCATAACCCTCATACCACTTATTTTAGGAGAGATAGTGAAATATCAGAAAGAATCAGTTTTATTTTTAATTTGAAACAGACAAGATTTGGCAAAATATATGGTTGGTACAGGAGAGCTTTTCTTAACCGGTAAGGAGAAGAATCTAATTTGATAGCTGAGAGTGGTTTTTGCACCTCTCCTTGCGGCTTCAGCTAATTGATGTTGAACCATTTCCTTCATAAAACAGAAATGGAAACTAGACTCCCAGATATTTTGGTTATGCCATTGTTCTATAAAGATAAGAGTTGGTGACTTGGTGGCCAAGCAAATCCTAAAAAAGAAGAAAAAAAAGCCATCCTCAGTGTCCAAGCACTTGACTTAAAATACGGTAAAACCTGCAAGAGCTGGAGCAGGAAACATGTCAAAGAAGGAAAACTCAAATATTTTCCCACCAAAATATTCCTTTGAAAACCTCAATAATAAGGGGAAGACATTAAACAAAGCACTACCACCAATATCTGTAAAATATAAAAACATTTGTTGTTGTTGTTGTTATGTGTCGTCAAGTCGGTTTTGACCCATAGTGACCCTGAACAGGGTTTCCAGGGCTGTAAATCTTTACGGGAGCAGAAAGCCTCATCTTTCTCCCATGGAGCAGCTGGTAGTTTCAAACTGCTGACCTTGCGGTTCGCAGCCCAATTCGTAACCACTATGCTGCCAGAGCTCCTTTAGTGTTATTTTAATACAAGTTCTGAACCAATTATTTTTTGTAGCCTTTCTGTACAATTTATTAGTAGCCAAATATCTGTGTAAATTAGGCATGCTGCCACCGTCTGAAAAACTAAAAACGGCTTTCTTTCTATTCAGTCCATTTGAGTAAAACTACACTTGATAAAAGAAAAACTCTCTTTTAATGCTTGAAGGTAAAAACTGTACGTAAAAAAAAAATCATGAGAGAACGAAATTTATATACATTCTCTGAAGTAGAAAATTACAGACATCTATGACATTAATAATCACATCAATTTTCTCTTTTGACAATGCACAGAACTATTTTTAAGGGAAGATTAATTTGAATACGTATTTAACAGAATCACTCCTATTACAGTCTAAGCTGGGTTTAATTACGTATTTCAAAAATGATTTCCCACTCCATCCATCTTTCTGAGCCTACTGAAATGAACCGTGATAACATGAGAGTCATCGAAAACAGTTTTTCCTCTTAGGCTTAGTTCTGGTAAGTAGCTAACGGACACAGATAAACTTCCCCAAACACAGATTAACAGGGCCTAAAATCAATATCAAAGACTAAATCAGTGGGTTTGTCTTTTGAAAAATCTAGATAACCTTAATTCAGTACTAAAAAATTTGAAAGTCAATTTTTGGTTGCCTTTGATTAAAGTGGTTTATCTAATCTGTTAGGTTACTCAATACTCAAGAAGACAAGCAAGCCAGCAGACAAGCCCTTCTCAATTCTTGCCCTAGCCTACAAAAATTAGGTCTGTCTCCTGGCCCAGCCCATGCCCTGAATCAGGGTGGCCCATGAGCTGAATCCATACTCTACGTATGTATTTATACATATACACACACATACACTTAACCCCAAGCTTCCCCAATTACATGACAGTGGTCCTCTTTGAAATATTCTTCGAATTCTTTTTTCAAACCTATTTTCAATATGAGAGAAAATCTTGTTTACCAAAGCATGTAGTATCAACAATATTGTCAATGAAACCAGTGACTGGTTTTAACAAAAAGATAAACACTAGAAACAAAACGCTATGTTGTTTTTTAGAATATGCTAACTAGAAGATTTACAAATTCTCATCTTTCGTGCTCCACGTAAACATAGCTTTTGACACATATTTCTTTTAAAAGAGGTTAAATTTTACCTGTGGTACATAAGCTTGCAGGTAGTGAGATAAGAGGTCTTTGTACAAAGTAATGGAGAGGCTGTTTCTTAATGGTGTGTGGACTCATCATTATTCGATGGAATCTGTATTTCAAAAACGACACTGTAAGAGATCTAATCTTCTCATCTTGTAAACTCAGGTTTTTAATGCTCATGCAGAAAACACCTAAGTAAAACTGAAATCTAAATTGTAATGAAAATAATTACATAGCTCTTTATTTTCTAGCAACACTATTTCCACTTACATAGGTAAGCAATATCTACAAACAATTCACTAACAGCTAAAAACTCATAGCTTTTATAATTAGTTGTACAAAGGATAGTGTAACATCTGGCGAGGAGAAACAGAGCAGTGTCTACATTAGTGATTTCTAACTTAAAGACTTTCTGACTCTTAGCTAGGCATGAAGTAGGTAAAGAACTGCAAGTAGTTCTTTCCTTATCTTCTTTAAAAATTAGTTAATATAAGTCACATGGTTTAAAATTCAAAAGGAACATCAATACATACTGCACAAAGTCTTCCTTGTTTGTTGCCTTCTTATCATACTTCCCTCTCTACAGGTAACAGGTAATCTCGATTACTTGTTTTCAAAAGTATTTCAAAAAGTCGAATAGAAAATATATTATTATCTTCCAAACCGCTAAAGAAGCTAACAATCTATGTAATTTTTAAAAAGTTTTTATTGTGAACTGATTGAAAGTTTACAGGGCAGATCATCAGTTTTACATTCAACAGATCATATACCTTGTTTCATTACAATGACTATAATCCCCTCCATGTACCATCAGTTAACAGTATTCCTCTCTATTCATTTTAGTTTTGGTTTTTTTTTTTTTTAAATACTCAGGCATATATAGTAATTTACACCACCAAAGGGCACTTTCTACAAGTCTGCCTCCTGGCCGCCAGCACTCAGTCCCTCTCTTCTATGACTCTAGAGTCTTCAGTTGCTCCCTCTCTCCATGCCCCCATCTGTCTCCATCTCTGGTGTCGCTGCTTCTAAGTATGCTTTTCTGACTGGAAATACATTAACTTTCTGAAATTTTGGTTTTTTCACATTGATATAGAGAAATGCTGATTGTCTATTTTTCTCAGCTTTGATAAATTTAAAACAAAGAGAGCTTTAGGGCAAAACAACACTTAGTGGATAAGGAAATAAGAGGAAACTTTAGTACTGCAAAGCTTTACAATTGTGATGCAATTTACTTTAAAATATTATTGCTAGCTATAACAACTGTCATTTCATGGAGTCACTGAAGTATTTTAAGCAGGAGCTATTTTTGTAATCATCTGCTGATTATTTTCCACCAAAATATGCGGATGTTAAGGATAGGGCCTATACCATCATTCTTTCTTTTAGAAATTCTGCTTGCCACAAAGCAACAGTGAGCACAGACTCAGCCGTATACACATTACCTAACAATTTCTGTATCCTTCAGTAATCTTTAAATGCTACTTCTGAGCAAAATACTACTTCAGCTGGGGTATTATGGGATGTAACTCAGAGTTTCTTAAAGGACCTCTAGGACTCGATGGCACCTAACAACAGCAACAAAGGGATTCAGGAGAATGAGAAGGTAAGCATTAAGGGCAAAATGGAAACTACATTGAATCAAGGAATCTGTAAATACCACTGTCAACATGGACTGCAAACAGAACTGATACATATATTATTATCATCAGTTAAATTATGTTTAACTATTCCAGTAATGGAGTCCCTAGATGGTGCAAACAGTGAAACAACTAAGTGAAAAGTTGGCAGTTCAAACCCAATCAGTGGTGCCTCAAAAGACAAATCTGAAGATCTGCTTCTGAAAACCCTATGGCGCGGCACAGTCCTTTGCAGCACAAGAGATCGCCATAAATAGGCACTGACTCAGGGCAACTAACCATAACAGCACTACAGTGATCCTGACTCTCTTTATTTGTTCATTATTTTTTACTAGACTAGGACCTCAACAAGGGGCTGTCACTTCTATGACACCAGCAGTTAACACAATGGCCTCAGTGTCTCAGCTCTAAAATGAGGTTAATAGTCACAGCCTCTTCATAAAGACTGGGCGAAGATGGATCCAGATAATTCCTGTGCAGTGCTGAGAACAGCGCCAGGCCACATAATAAATGTTCAATAAATGTAACTTGGTGTGGTGCTGTAGGATAAGCTGTGGACTTCTAACCACAAAGTCAATGGTTCAAACTCACCAGTTGCTCCTTGGAAACAGGGTCACTATTAAGTCGGAACCAACTCAATGGCCCTGAATAACAATAAATGTTACCTACTGTTAAAGATATCATGTTTAGTAAAGTGGAGGGTCAGAGAAAAAGAGGAAGAGCCCCAATGAGATAGATTGGCCAAGTGGCAGCATCGATGGACTCAAGCGTGGCAACAGTAGTGAGGTTAGCCCAGGATCGGGCAGTGTTTCATTTTGCTGTGCATCAGGTTGTTATGAGTCAGTACCAACTTGATGGCACCTAACAACAACAACTGTTATCATTATGTAATAAAAACCAAAGTCAAATCTACCACCAAGTCCCTGTCACTCACAGCGACCCTTGCTAGGGTTTCTAAGATTGTTACATATTCACAGAGTAGACAGCCTCATCCTTCTTGTGAGGACCGGCTGGTGGGTTTGAAACATCGACTTTGCAGTCCAATGCTTAAGTCACCAAGGTGCCCTATCATTATGTGTAATTTGTTGTTGTTAAGTGCCGTGGAGTCAGTTCCAACCTTTTGTTGTTAAGTGCGGTTGAGTGACACTGTATAGGGTTGGTGGGTTTGAACTGACGACCCTGCAGGATGTTAAGGATATGGCCTATACCATCATTCTTTCTTTTAGAAATCCTGCAATTCAAAGTGACCTTGTGGTCCAGTGTTTACACTACAGCGCCACAAAAGGACTCAACTAAATGCCTAATGATTACTTACCAAATAAATGAAGCTCAAGGTTTGGTGAAAACACCATTATAGCTCACTGCCTAAGTGTCTAGTATGAAATTTGGAAAATACTCTGGAAGGCCAGTATTTTGTGCTTTCAGCCTAAGTGAAAGGAAATTAGGCATCACAGTGGATAATAAGCAGCACATTCTGACACAGATGGGCTTGTTGTTGTTGTTAAGTACCATGGAGTCGGTTTCAACTCATAGTGACCCTGCATAGAGTTTCCGAGGCTGTAAATCTTTACGGGACTGGAAAGCAATATGGCGTTTCCTCAGAAGGTTGAAAATAGAAACACCTTATGACCCAGCAATCCCTCTACTCGGTATTTACCCACAAGAAAAACGAG